AAATATATATATATATATATATATATATATATAGATCGAGTAATTTCAACAAAATTAAATTTTTCACAAAATGTACAAATTTACCATAGAATAATCTTGTCAAAATTAAAAAACTTCAATTAAATTAAGCTTTAATATCATTTAAAAAATTCTTAAAATCGAGGATATTTTTTTAAGAACTTAATATTACCACAATTTTCTAATTTCTAGAACAAAAATTGATATAATCTAATAAATAAGAGGTAAAAATGGTTTTTGTTTTTTTTTTTTTTTATGTAAAAAAATTAATATTATTTAAAATAAAAAATAAAAAATTAAGATAATTATTATCATCAAACTTCTTTGGTTTTGTTATACTTTTATGTAGGCGTGGGAGAGTTGCTGCACATAGCTTTCCGTACCTATTTGACTCTTTAGTTTTTATAAGCAAGCGTGTAAATTTCAAAGCTCAGCAAATTTGTAGGAGTCTTCCAACTTTGCATATTCAAATCATGATAATGTAAGCGAACTTGTTTTGAATAGAAAAATACCTATCTTCAATGTCATAAAACTGGACACGAGTCAATCGAATAGCAGTTCAACACCTCTAGTTGGACCCGAATAGCCGTTCAACCCGACCGTGCCCAACATAATGCAAAGCCAGCAGGGGCTAACCTTAACCAAGAACCAAACATATTTGGTTAATCCTCGGACATTTCAAACAGAAAAACTGGATCGACGTGACTCACCTAAACCTAAGGACCATCTTGGTGGGATCGTACTAAAATCGAATCAAACTTCATGAGCCAAGGTTGATTTTCATAAAGAATAAAATGGGTTGGATCAAATGAACCCAAACTCGAGAGCCATCTAGGCTGGGGTCAAGCCTAAATTGAACTAGACTTTGTGCGTCGAGTGTACGCATGGGTACGACTATTAAATAACCCTAAAAATACCATCCTTTATTTTCAAAGCTTCTTTTGAACGGTTTTTTTTTACCTTAAATTTTGGTTGGACGACACTTTTAATTATTTACTTTTATTACCCAATTTGTAAAAAAGGAAATTGCTTTTTTTAACAAAGCAAAAGAAAATTATTGTGATTAGCTTAACCACTGGTATAATTAGGGATTACAATGCTATATTATGGAAGTAAAAATGTTGAAATGAATCAAACCAAACAAGAGTCATGAATGCCTTCCATCCTTCTCCGTTGCTTTTCATACTCTTTCTTCTCATGCTCTTCCAAACATGCACCATTGCCACCAAAAAGGCAAGCAATCTACCCGTTCTATCATTATTGTTCGATTCTCATTTGGAATATTCACTTTTTGATTTATCGGATTTTCTTTTTTACTCGTCTAGTCTTACATTGTGTATCTGGGATCACTTTCTCATGGTTCGAGTACCTCTTCGTTGCATCATCAACGTGTAACAGAGTCTCATTATAATTTATTGGAATTAGTGTCGGGAAGGTAATCATCTCTAACATTCTAAAGATAATTTAACGTTGTTTTAGCTAATTATTTTTGTTGTTGTTCATGTAGCAAGAACATAGCCGAAGAAGCAATTTCTCACTCATACAACAGACACATCAATGGCTTTGCTGCCATGCTTGATGAAAACCAAGTATCAGAACTTGCAAGTAAATTGTTCATACATTTATAAACAAGTCGATATGTTTTCGTTTTTGTTGTTTAAAGAAACTCAAAGATGATGTTCTTCAAAAACATGGCAGAATTTCCAGATGTCGTTTCAGTTTTTGAATGTCAAGCAAGAACATTGCACACGACAAGATCATGGAACTTTCTCGGAATGGAAAAACATGAAGGAATTCCTTCGACCTCCATTTGGAACATCGCTCGATTTGGTGGTGATACAATCATAGCTAACTTTGACTCAGGTTTCTTCTATTCTTCCCCTTCAAATCACTCTTTTACTCATTTTGTTATGTTATTGCAATGACTCAAACTCACCACTAGCAGATATTGTCTTATTTGGGTTTTTCCTTCGAGCTGCCCCTCTAAGTTTTTAAAATCAGTTTGTTAGGGAGAGATTTTCACCCCTTTGGGGCCAGCGTCTCGCTGGCACTCGTTCCCTTCTCCAATTAATGTGAGATCCCCCAATCCACCTCCTTTGGGGCCCAGTGTCTTTGCTGGCATACCGCCTCGTGTCTCCCCTTTTAGGGATCAGCTTCCTTGCTAACACATTGTCTGGTGTCTGGCACTAATACCATTTGTAATGACTCAAACCCACGACTAATCGTTAATGTCCTATTTGGGTTTTCACTTTGCTTCCCCTCAAGGTTTTTAAAACACATATGCTAAGAAGAGGTTTCCACACCCTTATAAAAAATGTTTCGTTCTCCTCTTTAACCGATATGGGATCTCACAGTTATGTTCTTCTTTCATACTTTTCAATGTAATTGGGATACAGGTGTTTGGCCAGAAGCTAAGAGCTTTAGTGATGAAGGGTATGGTCCTATCCCCTCGAGGTGGAAGGGAACTTGTCAAAGTGACTCAGATCCCAACTTCCATTGCAACAAGAAGTTGATTGGAGCAAGATTCTTCAACAAAGGCTATGGTAACCTCAATGCTACCTTCAATTCTCCTAGAGACCAAGAAGGCCATGGAACCCACACTTTATCCATAGCTGGAGGCAATTTCGTATCTGGAGCTAATGTCTTTGACATGGCCAATGGCACTGCCAAAGGAGGTTCACCTCGAGCCCGCATCGCTTCCTACAAGGTATGTTGGCCAGTAGAAGGTCGTCAGTGTTTGGATCCAAATGCCTTAGCTGCCTATGACGCTGCAATCAGCGATGGCGTCGACGTTATCTCGGTTTCCATCGGTGGAGAGCCGAAAGAGTTTCTTAGAGATGCACTCTCTGTAGGAGCCTTCCATGCAGTTCAACATGGCATTGTTGTTGTTTGCTCCGCTGGGAACTTTGGACCGACTCCGGCGACCGTATCAAACGTATCGCCATGGGTTCTAACCGTTGGAGCTAGTACCATCGATCGTGATTTCACAAACTTCGTCGTCCTGGGAAACAAGAAGAAACTCAAGGGAACAAGCTTTTCTTCTAAAGCATTGGCATTCAACAAGTTCTATCCTTTAATCAATGCTGTGGATGCCAAAGCCAACAATGCCTCTAGCAGTGATGCGTGAGTATATCTAATGCATACCCATTTCTAATGAACACTTCAAACAATGTATATGTTATTGCAGGGAAGTTTGTAATGAGAGATCGCTTGATCCCACAAAGCTGGCAGGGAAAATTGTGGTTTGCCTTCGAGGGGTCATTTCAAGAGTGTCAAAGGGCTATGTAGTGGCCCAAGCAGGGGCTGCTGGCATGATTTTGGTTAACGATAAGGACAATGGGGATGCCATTGCCACTGATCTGCATCTCCTCCCAGCTTCCCATGTAACCTTCAATGACGGCATATCCATCTTCCATTACATCAAATCTACGAAGTATTGTTGCTCAAGATTGTTCATTAAATGTATTGTTTTTACTACAAGTTTTGAAGCATATTGACATAAACTTTGATCAGGACACCAATGGCTTGCATCAGTTCAGTGAAGACAGAATTAGATGTAAATCCATCGCCAGTAATGGCAGATTTCTCATCGAGAGGCCCCAGTACAATCGAGGGGTCCATCCTTAAGGTTGGTGTCGGATGAAAGTCCCACGTTGGTTAATTGAGAAAATGATTATGGGTTTATAATTAAGAAATACTCTCTCCATTGGTATGAGGCCTTTTGGAGAAGTCAAAGCAAAGTAATTAGAGCTTATGCTCAAAGTGGACAATATCATACCATTGTGGAGAGTCGTGTTCGTTTAACAGTTAGTTTTTTAGTTTTTTTCGAAGAGTTTTTTAGGTTAAATTTATGCCAACTTAGAGTTTTTTTTTTTTTCAGCCTGACATTACAGCACCAGGTGTGAATATAATAGCGGCTTACCCGGATGAAATACCACTAATAGAATTACAGGTTGACGATCGTCGAGCTCCTTTTAAGGTAGATTCTGGCACATCCATGGCTTGCCCCCATGTTGCTGGCATTGTAGGCCTTCTCAAATCTCGATATCCTAAATGGAGTCCGGCTGCCATTAAATCTGCAATCATGACCACAGGTTCTATCACATAATCAAATAGAAAAACGTGTCTATGTAGTAAATGGTTGTTTTTTTTATTTAAACAACTTTCCATTAACTTCATCTGTACAGCCAAAACAAGCGCCAACAACTTCAATCCAATCCTAGACTTTACCGGACTCGAAGCGACTCCATTGGCATACGGCAACGGACATGTTGACCCAAATAGTGTGATGGATCCTGGCCTCGTTTACGACATTGCAATAGATGATTACCTCAATTTCTTGTGTGCTCGAGGCGACAATGCAACACAAATCAACAAATTATCCCACAAGTTATTTGTCTGCGATCCATCATTCAAAGTAACGGATTTGAATTACCCTTCGATCTCAGTCACGAATCTGAAAACAGGCCCTGTGACGATCAATCGAAAGTTGAAGAACGTGGGAAGTCCAGGGACGTATGTTGCTCAAGTGAAGGCGCCTTTGGAAGTTTCTATCGCGGTTGAGCCAAGTACATTGCAATTTACCGCCATGGATGAAGAGAAGAGCTTCAAGATCGTGTTGCAGAGAAGTGGAAAGGGAAGTCAAGAGGGCTATGCGTTTGGGGAATTAGCATGGTCTGATGGCAAACACAATGTTAGGAGCTCCATTGCTGTTAATTTAGGGAAATAGTTCTAATTTTCAAATAGTTTCTCATGCAATGTAAATAGGGTATCATTTTAATTTGTTGGATAAATGAAAATTATATAGTGTTTGTCCACAAATAGCTATTTGCTGCATCCACCTTAATTGCGACATAGCAAGACAAAATATTATCCAACAAACCCATTGATAAAGCAAACACATTTTACAATTAGATCCAAATGGATATTAATATAACTTCAATCAATCAGCATATCTATTAAATATAAACCACGATCGACAGGCGAAATGTTAATCACCTGATACCCGTTTTTAGATTGATTCATAATCAGGTCACAATCAATATAGCTATTACACATATGAACCTCGATCGACAAGCAAAACGTCAATCACCTGATACCCATTTTCAGATTGATTCATAATCGGATCACGAACATAACTTCAATGCACAAGCTTTTCAATAATCAATAAACTCTTCCCAGTGAGCAAAAATCAGTAATCAATAGAAACTTCTCATGAAAACTACAATAATCATGAAAGATCAAAACCTTTCAGCCAATCTGGCTGTGACTGCTCTCAGTTTTGAATAAACTTTTCCAGCAGGGGACCCTAAAATGAGGCTGCAAAGAGAATCCCTTGCAATCTTGATATTTGCAAAGGATCCTAATATGTGAATCTTTGTGTCTGCAATAACTATCCTCGTCTTCGTGGCGTTTTCGATGGCAAACTTTGTCTTACCAGCTTTACCAGACAATCTGCCTATGGCACGAGACAAGTGCTCGCCTCGAAGTGTCTTAACATCTTTAATCTCAAAAGACTCCACATAGAGTTCATCCACCCGTAGGAGTGCAATGGCATCAATCACATCAAAACCGAGCATGAAAGCATGGACAAAATCTGCACATTTCTGTAAGTTACTGATATCAGGCGTGTCTGCTCTGGTTTTAAGTTCGACTTTTCGTGCCTTGAGATTCATTCGGATGTCAATTTTCATCTGCTCATAAATTGGGGTGTAAATTTCCATCCATGCTTTCTTGAGCGGAGAATATCGATGCGGAGGAACAGAGACCTTTCGGAACTGAACTCGACCATCATTCATCTCGTGAGGCTTTAGAGGATCAAAGTGAGGTTTTGGGGGTAATGTGCTAACTACTGGTTTCGGTTGAGTTGAAACTGCTTCTACTTCCATGGAAGTGGAGGCTTCGGTTGACTGCATTATGGAATTGTTCTGAGTTTCCACACTGTAAACAGCCAATGAACTAGTGTTAAACGACGAAGTATTAGATCAAATATAAACAAAACCCCATCAACATGATAAGCAACAAAAATTGAAAATAAATCTGATAAACTTCATTCTTATCCTCCCAAGAAGAAAAATTTCAGAAACAAAAATTCCTTTTTCTCATGTAAAAGATGCATTGATTCTAAGATACAATAATCCAATATAACTATTAACTAATAACAAACAAGTAGGATTGAACTAAAAACAGTGCCGGGTTCTAAAATATACAATCCAATTTCAATTTTAGGTAACACAAGAATAGAATGCGCCGGCCTCGGATCGTACGAATGAGCAACCAAACCAATGAAACTTGGGCAAAACAGAATTTCAAATGAGTTCCCATTGGGATGTTATCCACTGCAACGGAATGAAACTTGAAAGAGAAAGATAGGGAGGGGGTAAATAGGAAGAATACCTGAGACCAAGAAAGGTAGACAAATATGGGAAGAAGGGGTACGGCGTCGACGGTGGCACCGAGAGCGACGGAGGAGACGGCGGGAAGGTGCCAAGTTAACTGCTGAGAGGAAGAGGAGAAAGCGCGAAGAAATGAGGCGGCTCTTAGGGTTTAACGATCCTTTCTTCGCTCTGTTTTGTTTTCATCTTTGTTTCTTAAAATAAAATCAAATGGGATTGGGCCATTGGGCCGTTGGGCCGTTGGGCCCATTGTTTTATTTTATTTTTGTCTATTTTTAAATAGACTAAGATTTGTTGTTTAAATAAGCTTCCCTCACTAAGGAATAAAATAATAATAATTAATTAATTAATTAAGGTAGATGAAGAGACGACAAGATTTATCTAAACTTACTTCCGTCAAAATTTAGACTGAATTGGTCCTATCACTCTTTAGGAGAGAAGATTTTTGGACAAGGAAAGACTTCAACTTCGATCAGGATTATTTGGGAGTGAGTTCCATATTGGTTAATTTTGTAGAATATCATGAGTTTATAAGTGAGAAACACTATTTTTATTGTGACGAGGCCTGAGAAAGTTCAAAGCAGAGCGCCATGAGAGCTTATGCTCAGTGGATAATATCATACTGAAAGTCGTAATTATTCCTAACACCCAATATGGGTGACTTATCTATCAAAATTTTCACCTTTACCTCAAAAAAATAAATAAATAAATAAATAAAATCTTAGCTCACCAAATTATGTTTTTTTAAAAAAAGAGAGACAGGATTCACACAAGAAAGAATGGCATTAAACAATAAATTGAAGATTACAGAGTTAATTTTAAGAAACAAATTGTGAACATATTGCACAAAAAATATATAAAATCCAAACAAAGTGGAATCAGAAATGAATCCATTCCATCACATCAAACTTGAAACGGCCAAGGCCAGTCCTTCAAATCCTCATCCTGTTCAACCTTAGCACTCCTCATCGCCGCCGCCCCATTCCCACTCCCCCCACCGCCTTCAACAAACGCATAATACTTCAAGAAAAACGCCAATGTAAGAACCACCCACTCCAAAACAAACATAACCACACTCAACCCTCCCGCCAATTTCAAGATCACGGCTCCATCCTCCTCCCTCACGTACGATTTCAACTCCCCCAGAAAGTCCCCTGTTCTGGTGTACACCAGGACAGCAACAGAGCCTTGGAATATGGCGGTGAGGACGGTGAACACCATGTGGGTGCCGAACCAACGACCCGAGGCGGTGGAGGCCATGGCGCAGCCGGAGACGGCGGCGGCGATGGTGAGTATGTGGAGGAAGATGAGGGAGAGGCCGCAGAGAGAGGGGAGGAGGCGGAGGGAAAGAGTGAGGAAAATGCAGCTGGAGGCGGCGCCGAGGAGGATGTAATTGGTGTAGAGGAAGAGCTTATGGGTGTGGTAATGGGAACGGCTCATTGAGGTTGATGATTGTGGGTGGCCGCTAATGGAGAAACCCATTTTTTTTTTCTCGGAGATGGAGAATTGATGAATTTCTTTGATCTTTTTCTGGAAGAAGGTTTGGCAATGGCGGATGTTGAAAGAAGGTGTGGAATGAAGAGGAAGATATATAGGGGCGGGATCTTGCCCAACGGCTACATTTCTAGCCGTTGGAGACAATCTGAAAAACTCCAACGTTACTCTGCTGTGTGTAATTAACAATCTAACGGCTACTTTTCTTTTTCCCGTTATATAATATATATTTAGGGAAATAGAGACTTCTACAAAAATAAAGGGGTAATTTTATTTATTTATTTTTATTCTCGTTAATGTAATTTATATAAGATTTTTCGCTTCCCTATCCCGAAAACTTAAGGGTTCCTCCACAAGGTTCGTTCACAAAAGGTGAGTAAGGACCTAAGATCAGGCTAAAAGACATAGTCGATAGACAACAGGTGAATATTCATGTACTACCTCTTGTTGGTCCCGAGGGACGGAGGAGGCTAGGTTAGCCGAAAGAGGTTATCAGTTCAAAGATGCAAGGTGCTTTTTCTTTTTTTAGGATAAGAAAGGAGAGAGAAAATATCTCGAGCCAATGTTCAAGTACCAGGTGTTACGAAGTAACCCATGTCATACTCACACGAAAGTATAATAGTCTTTTTTGTATTTTAGAAAAACTTAAATTAACCTTTCAAATTTCCTTTTCCAAGGATTTTCATGTTTCAACCTCATCAATGTATAATTTGCTTAGAAATCAAAACTTTCTCAATTAGCTTACAAACTAAACAAAAACATTCAGAATTCCACAAAATACTTATAAAACAATCTCAACATTAGGAGATCAGTAAGGCTGACCATCATCATAAAGCCATGGAGAAATGCAAAAGCAAGAGACCATGAGTTTATACAATCTCCAGAGGGCTACCCTCGACCGATCGACCGACCCATCAACCTCTAATTGAATGAAATGACAACATGGTTCATCATAGAGCATTAAATTTACAGCAGTCTCAGCCAGACTTCGGTTTACTTCTTGAAAATGACGGTCTTGATGAGAAAGGGAAAATAACCTCATGAATGTTGTGTAAAAATCCGTGATCATAAGTATTATTCTTGACAACCTGCACTTGTTCGAGTCGAGATCTACGAAAAATGGTTCTCCATTTGCTCTCTGGAGGCTTTCTTTCAGAACTCAGACCATCCATGCTTGCTCTTAAGGCTGCTGCACTTGCCTTGGCTTCACTTGCCTTCCTCTGCCAGCTGATGTACTCTTGCCACTTAAATGTCTAGCAGTACCCAAAACAAATCACACAATAAGTCAAATTTGCAGCAAAAGTATAGGACAGATGAAATATTCTAGTTGTTTGACAACCATTTTTAAAAGGGAAAAAAAAAAACATTTTTGGTCCCTTAATTTCTATTTCGTCCTAAATTTTAAGAACTAAACTCGGTAACAAAATGCTCCAACATGACTAGAAGAGTAGTTACATCTAGAACTATAAATCACAAAAAATAGCCATAAAAATGTTGGAAGGTTACTCATTTCTAAGACTATTACATTCCAAATGAACTTAGCTTAGTTGTAATTGACATGTACTTCTGTGAGATCCCACATTGGTTGGAAGAGAATGAAACGTTCTTTATAAGGGTGTGAAAACCTCTCCCTAATAGACGCATTTTAAAACCTTGAGGGAAAGCCTAGAAGGGAAAGCTCAAAGAGAAATATTTATGAGCGGTGGGCTTGGGCCGTTACAACCTCCTTTGATGTCACGGTTCAAATCGACATATTCAACCTTCGTTAAAAGAAAATGAAAAATTATTGAGAGAGATTTGGATCCACGCTTTTTTAGCTTTTTTAGACCAGAGCCTTAATCTGATGACTTAAACCAACTCAGTCATTTCTAGAATACTTCACTTCCGAAGATTTTCTTCAATATTTGCAATTTTCAGTTCTTCGTTTCATTGAATAAGCTCTTCAGAGTTTCCCCTTACTCTATGAGCTTCTCTCCCTTCCTCCAAGTTTCAAATACTCGAGCCAACTCAAGTGTCTTTTGAGTTCTTTGAAACAAAACTCTTCAATAATTTGGACATAAAAGTTCTCTAATCTAGATCTTTGAAGAAGTTTTAAAAGAAATATATAGCCCTTTCAATATCTTCTTGGTAACTTCTCACTTGGGAACAATGAGACCAATGTGGAGAATGTGCCAATTTGCTTCAATTGTTATCTTAAAGACCCAACAATCTCATACTCTTTTAATTATTGATGTCAATCTCTAATTGAATATGAAGCAAAGGTAGATGCATGCCAATATATCACCAAGAGCTCTAAGATCTACATCAGAAGGATCAACTTTACTCATAGAAGCCAATGCACAAAGATTTTCGGTTCCAATTCCAAGGACCCTATCCTGGAAAGAAGTCACTAGAAACTCAAGGGGTTCTGGTTCAAATATAAGTAGAAGAACTCGGAATCCACAACCATCTCATCCAGACCATTCCTATGACGAAAGACCCTTCATAGCCGATAGATCATTCGACAAAGATTCTGTTTACAAATGGAAGCTTGATGGTTTCTCTAATTATCTAGTCATGGGCATTATCAAAGAGATACTGATAGCTAACATGACTTATTGCTCCAAATGTAACGCAAACAATGAGAGAACTCCAATCTTACACCTATAAAATTCCCAGAGGTGCCATCCTTTGGAGTTCTAGTCAAAGCCAATATTCCTTTTCTCCTCACTTGCAACCCTTCAAGAAGAAGGCAAAAAAGCTTTGGCTCAACCTCATCAGAAGAGCTTACTTTGGCGCACGACAGAGAAGATTTTCCATGTGAACAGCCCTCCCAAACATAGGTGTTGATTTTCCATTGGTCAAAATCATGTTTTGGATAACAAAAAAGTGCTTCTAGAAAAAGTCAAAAGCAATTGCTTGGGCTCATGCGCTTGACAAAGAAGCACTTGTAGTTCCTTTTATAATTATTCCATTTTTTATATTTCCGACTAACTGGACAGCTTTCTTTTAATCTCCCTTAGTCATTGTATACTCCTGAACCTTCTTTCACTCGGTCTCACAAGCACTAAGTTTAAGTAAGTTCTTTCACTCGGACACCTTTCATAAACACTTTGACTTCCCTTGCCTTGTCCTTCATAAACAAGAACCCACCACACAAAGAAAATAACTAAACGCAAAAAAGAGAGACACCTCATTTGTTGTGGTATTGGTGATACAGAGTTTAGCATGGTAACCAAAGAAACCTCCCAATAGCAGACAAACTATCGAAAGAAACACCATGATTAGCAGTTGAGTATTGTAGGAGCCCAAAATCCACTGTTGCAAGCCAAACAACAAGCCAACAGTAATTATCCAGAATGCACAATTTAAGCAAACAAACAGAGGGACAAGGAATCAATTTAAATAACTTACCTGTATAACATAAGGTGCTAGACCGAAGAAAGAATTTTCAACGCCATAATAAACTGCATCCGATAAATGGGAAAGAATTGCCACGTATCAGATTTACATGAACGAAAGAGACACAATAAAGGAGCGAAAGTAATTTCATGTACCCGTCAAGATATAAACAACTTTTAATTCTTTTAATTGTCCAGCAAGAACAAGTCCAATTGCAACCGCCCCGTATACACAAAGAAAGAAATGCCTGTGAAAACATAAAAAATTAAAGAATATACATGATCTGAGGACTCGAGAACACTAATATAGCAGAAA